CTCTCTCACACACACACTCTTTATTAACTTTATCACTGTGTATCTTTCCTGTCTTTAATTTAACTATTTTTTCCTCTGTATTTTTTTGTTTTTGTTTTTGTTTTGTTTTTGTCTCTATTTGTTTCCTTTTCGACAAACTGTAACTCCCTATCCCCTCCCCCTCTTCCTCCCTTTTTTCTCCCACACATTTTTTGGCCTCTCTTTCTTTTTCTCAATCCCAACCTCCCAACGTTCTTCTCTGTCACTCCCTCTATCTCCCAATCTCTTCCCCTGACTCTCTCTCCCTCAACCCCTCTCCCAAGCGCCCCTCTTTCTCTCTCTCTCTCTCTCTCTCCCCCCCCTTCTCTCTCTCTCTCTCTCTCTCTCTCTCTCTCTCTCTGTTACATGACCATTTACATCAATATTTCCGCGAGGAGTACGGACGATGAGAGAGGTTCGTGGTGGCTGGTTGAGCAAACTGGGAGTGGTGGGTTTTTGTTTTGTTTTTCGTTGATTTTTGTTGATTTTTGGATGGGGTGATGTTTTTTCCTTATTTATGCTACCCGTTGAACTTGAAGCCAAGCAGCAGGTGAGAAGCCTGTCGTATTGTACGGCTCGGATATTACTGCATACATATTCTTCTCTCTGTCCTCGTGTGTGTGTCCACTGCGCGCTCCAGCGTCTTGTGATTTTTACGCCTGCCCCATTTTCTGTTGTGCCGAGACAATTTTGGTTTTTGCCTCGTCGTTTTTGTTTCCTCACTTATTTGTGTCCTCTCGGTTAATTGATCAATTTTTTTAATGTCGTGAAAGGAGCTGTTGCTTGACACAGAGTGTCGAGTTTCTGTCCCGACTGATGTCTGGACAGATCGTGTCCTTGACTTTGGTGTCGTGTGTTTTTCGTAGGTGCGGCAGCCTTGGTTGTAGACACTTACACCCCCCCCCCTCTCTCTCTCTCCTTATCTCTCTCTCTCTCTCTCCCGCCTTGTTGGTGGGTCGAGTCTTGTTTTTATAGTTGAAAAAAAACAAGTGTGTTGACCTTTAACCTGAGACCAAGTGAAGAAGCTTGATGGAACATGCGAGAGTTTTGTGAATGTGTGTGTGTGTGTGGATCGAGTGTTTTGCCGGGTTCTGTGGCTGTAACATTTTGACTTTGATCCTAATGCTCATCGTGTCGTCGTTTTGTCCCCTCTTTGTTCCACGTCGCGGACCAGTGCGTGTGTTGCTCCGTGCGGTGAGGTGATCGTGCCGTTCACAGATTAGTGGCGTTTGTCAGTAGGGTAATAGTGGTGGCATGATTTGTCCAGGCTTTGTCTTGTGTGGGTGCAGGGCTTGGGTCCGTGGTACTCGACAGTTGGGTGGTTATGTGGCCAGGGACTAGGACAGAAGGGAAAGGTGTTTGGGAAAGGAAAGAGGAATTGAGAGTCACGGAATTGATGATAATAATAAGGCCAAGAACGATGCTTCGTTAAAGTAAAGATAATTAATTTGATTTTTTAAATCTGGTAGACCTATGAGATTTACTGTTTGTTTCTGATAATGGCCACTGATTTGTCTTTGAGAAACAGAAAGGGTTTTTTTCTTAATGTAGTTCATCTTATTATAGTTGTTCTTATTGTAGTTCATCTTCCTGTTGCAAGTTGCGGCATTGAGTCGTGTTTATGTTAGAGAGACGACAAAGATAAGGAGAGAGAGTGAACTGTGGGTGGAAAGAAATCGTGTGAAGGAAGACGCAAGTCTTGGACGTACCAGTGTCGTTGTGTGTGTGTCGTTGTGAAAAGTTGCTGTAGTTGTGTGTAGCTGTGGCTGAAACCTTCAGCTTCCGGCGAGTGGGTTTGTACGTGTTAATGCATTCACTATTGGCTCTCATTTTTATTTTTTTTTAATGTCATGAAATTTGTACAGGATGGTTGGATGATAGTAACATTTTGTTGTGATGGTTGGATGATAGTAACATTTTGTTGTCTGTTGTCACTTTTGAAAAATGTTATTTCTTGTTTTGAGCTCCCGGGGGAACATTCAGGTTGCTTACTGAGGAGGGGAATTTTGCCGGGGAAAGAAATGAGGGGAAATTATTGATGTGCATGCTACGTGTGTACTCCGAGGAAAGCTGACACGGTCAGAGCGGGGGAAGAACAGAATCTTGCTTTTGTTTGTCCTCTCAGAATGATCTAGAAATGTGTTGGGAGTGTTTGTGTTAAGAACTATCGAGAAATGTGATGGGAGTGTTTGTATTAAGAACTATCGAGAAATGTGATGGGAGTGTTTGTATTAAGAACTATCGAGAAATGTGATGGGAGTGTTTGTTTTAAGAACTGTCAAGAAATGTGATGGGAGTGTTTGTATTAAGAACTGTCAAGAAATGTGATGGGAGTGTTTGTATTAAGAACTATCGAGAAATGTGATGGGAGTGTTTGTATTAAGAACTGTCAAGAAATGTGATGGGAGTGTTTGTATTAAGAACTATCGAGAAATGTGATGGGCGTGTTTGCGTTAAGGAACTATCGAAACAGGTGGGTTATTGTAGCTCTTGATTTTTTGTAATCTTTTTATTTTTGCGTTGCAGAAGCATACTCTCTTTACTTCACAAATAACCTTTGGGGTCAGAGTAGAGAGTGCCAGTGTGCTAAAAAACAAAAAGTAGCGTATGTCTCCACCGGAGTTGAGGTGTGGGTACACTACTGTTACAGGGGAGAGAGGGGGGGGGGGGGCATGCTCCTATGTTCTGCACATGCTTTAACTTGCCGTGATTTGGTCTGGACGGAATGTGCAAGCGTGTAGACATGAGCTGTGCTGGACTCTATACACACACCTTTTTTTTTTTCTTTTTTTTTGGTGAGCTTTTACGTTTCTGTATCATAATACAAGATATATATATATCTATGTGCTTATAATTTAAGGAAATGTCTTGCAATAATATGAGAAAGTGAATGCGTTGTTTGTTGAGGGGGCTCTTGTTGTGTGCGAGGGGAGCACGTACAATTTTCTGTTTCTGTGAGCCTGGGTTTTGGGGGTCATTTGTTTCAGTATGGTTCTTTTTTAAGGGTTTTTTGGTGTTTTTGTTGGGGGTTTTTTGGTTTGTTTTGTCCGTGGCGAAAACTAAAAAAGAAAAACTGACACAAGTTCATTCCATGTTTGCGATGGTAAACGTTGTTTTTGTCAGTGAGATGGTGGGGAGGGTGAGGGAGGGAGGGGGGGAGGGAGGGAGGGGTTTGTTGGTGTGATTGAATGTGTTATTTTTGTGAATTACTTCATGTGCAGATTGATTGCATGTAGATGTCTGTACTTGTACAAAGTACCTTTTTTTTTATTTGGACTCAAAAAGTGCAATGTGAAAATTGTGCTTCTCATATAATACTTTTTGTCTTTGCCTTTCATGATGGTGATCGGAATAGCAAAATTATCCTATAGATCATGTTACCTCTTGTACTAAATGAACGTATTGTTTATTTTGTATAGAAATGTATCGAGTTTCGAGTATCCTTTTTTTTTTTTCTTTTTTTTTTTTCTCTCAAACTTCTGAGTAAATTATTATTGGCCAGGTGAAATGGAAAACATGTAGTCAGTTTCTGTGTGTGACATTATTTTCCCTTGTTTTCGAACAAAAGAAGTCTTTCTTGAAGGTGGGCGAATATATCGTTGGTGTAATAGCTGTACTTTTGCCTGAAAATTTCCATCAAATAAATTTTTTTTTTTCTCTTATAATTGGTTTGTCAAAAGATGACTTTGACCACTGTTGATTTAGATATTTTCAATCGTCTATATATAAATATCTTGTTGAACTTTTTGTCAAATGGTCTTAGTGCGTGTCTTGAAACTAGAAATGTTTTTGTATTGTAAGTGGGTTTGGTTTGTTTTTTTGCTCATTGAGCTTATTCAAGTTCTTGTAGATATAGGTAGACTGACACTGATCATGTACATTCTTTTTATACTAGGAGAAAAGGTATAGGTAGACTGACACTGATCATGTACATTCTTTTTATACTAGGAGAAAAGGTATAGGTAGACTGACACTGATCATGTACATTCTTTTTATACTAGGAGAAAAGGTATAGGTAGACTGACACTGATCATGTACATTCTTTTTATGACAGGAAAAAAAGTAAAGGTAGACTGACACTGGTATTGTTAATTCTTTTTGTACCAGGAGAAAAAGTATAAGCCTACCCAAAAGATGGTGGAATTGTTTTGGGTTGGTTTTTTCGTTTTTTAAATCTAGATTTATCTTTAATCTTTTTGAGAAAAATTTGTTAATGTTACGGACTGGTGGCTGTTTATTTGACTTTGGGTTAATTTGTCTTGCTAGTTGTTGTACTCAGAAAGTAGTGGAGTTGATGAAGAAGATGAGAAAAGGGGATCCGTTTTTTGTAGTAGGGCTGTGTCCACTTTGGCAGAGGGTTGGGTTGTTGTTGTTTTTTTTGGGGGGGGGGGGTTCAGGAAGACATCAACCGAACACATGTCATACTTTGTCCTACCATTAAAGCAAACGACAAATCAAATTTGTGATGGTGGACTTTTCACTGAGTGTTGATGTTGGTGTTAAAGTGTGTTCTTGTTCTGTGTGTGTTGTTGTGTGTGTCCTGCTGTGTGTGTTGTTCTGTGTTGTTCTGTGTGTGTTGTTGTGTGTGTCCAGCAGTGTTTGTCACTGTGTGGTTGGCGGGTGCTCTGGTGTGGTTTGCTTCTTCTTTCCCATGAAACATCTATCGTCCTTATCTCCCCTCCTTCTATTTTGTGTGTATGTTACTCTCTTGTAACACCTCTAATCTTCGGCACTTATATATGACCTTATTGTGTTGCAAGTGCCGTAAAACTTTTACTAAAACTATTTTTAAAATCCACATTCTTCAACGTGCGGATGTAAATCTGGGAGCTCAGGTGCACGACCTCTGTAAGACACAGGGAGTCGGCCTACAGTATTTATTTAAAAAGTGGAAAACTTGTTTATACCTGGCACTGGAAGAACTTGGTATAACAACGTAGTGTACTACTAGTACTAGAATGCTTTCTGATATATATATCAGTGGGTGGTTGGTGGGTGCTCTGGTGTGATTTGCTTCTTCTTTCCTATCAAACATCTATTGTCCTGATCTCTCCTCCTTCTATTTTATTTTTATTACTCTCTTGAAACACCTCTAATCTTCGGCGCTTATATGACCTTATTGTGTTGCAACTGCCGTAAAACCTCCTTTTGATCTGTTAGACACAGGGAGTTGGCGTACAGTATTTGTTTAAAAAGTGAAAAACTTGTTTATACCCTGCACTGGAAGAACTTGGTATAACAACGTAGGACTAGTATGCTTTCTGAGATGAGCAAGAGGAGACTCGAATACCTTCTTGGTCACACAAACAGACACAAAGTATAAAGTATAAAGATAGACCTGATGACAACTGTGGTCTAGGACAGTCCGCAGAGGCAAAGAGAAGTAAGGGGAGTTTGTACTGTCTAGTTTTGGCAACGTTTTACGGTGCTCACAACTGCATAAGGTCATATGACCTCCAAGGGATGGATGTCAACAGAGAAGTTCAAATGGGGAATCAGGCTTACTCTGCTCACCTCTCTAGCCTCAACAGCACAGTCTCCTTCGACTATCAAGGCACCCCGAAAATAGCAGTTCACAAGAGAGTGACAAAGATACAAAAGAAGTTGAGGAAAATGACGATGGTAAGGATGAGGAAAGAAAAAGCAGCAGTTCCCCCTATGTTGTTCCGGCACAGTTATGAGCATGACATTGACAAATCAGCCCATTTACAATTCTACTGTGCATTAGAACATGCTAATTTCCTCCCTTTGGGAATGGCCTAGAGACACTTCAGTAACACTGGCTGGG